CGTGAGCGCCGGGAGCGTGGCCCTCCCGCCGACGCGTTGCCTCCAAGACTAAGGTCATGGTCGCCAACCTGCCTTACGACCTGACCGAGGAGAAGGTATGCTATGTCCTTTTGTTGACGATCATGTTGAGAGCCACGACTAACGTACTGGGACGTAGCTTAAGGAGCTTTTCGAGGCCTACTCGCCCTCTTCCGCCAAGATCGCCCTTCGCCCCATCCCCCGCTTCATGATCAAGAAGCTCCAGGCCCGCGGTGAGCCCCGCAAGGCCCGTGGCTTCGGCTTCGTTACCCTCGCCTCCGAGGAGCTCCAGCAGAAGGCCGTCAGCGAGATGAACGGCAAGGAGATTGAGGGCCGTGAGATCGCCGTCAAGGTTGCCATCGACAGCCCTGACAAGACTGATGAGGAGGCCAACTCTCCCGAGGAGAAGGCCAACGGTGCTGAGGAGGGCGCCCCCGCTGCGGCCCCCACCGAGGCTCCCGCTACCACCGCCGTCACGGCGACCGATGCCGCCCCTGCAGTCCCCGCCACTGCTGCCGGTGCTACTACCACTGCTTAAGCAGAACTTTACCGATACCGCCTGGCCCGAGAAAACCGGAGAGCCTTCGGAATTTCGGTTCTGACGAACTCTTTATGATATGATATCGGTTTGACGATTTCTCTTTTTGAAAGTGGGCCTTACTGGAACACGGGCACGCACAGGAGGCGGCTATTTTATCTCCTAGGACAGATATCTTTCGTGGCTTGCCTCTGGCCCTACATAAAAATAGGACATGGAAAAAGGAAGCTTCGCAGCGTTGCTATCTGTTTCACTTTCACCGTAATACTTATCACGACCTCTCACATTACACCCCTTGTATTTTTGTCACCTCCTTTCCCGTCTCCCTCCGCTCTCAGTGGGGGTTTGTACATTAGCTCTTGCTTCTGGCTGGCGGGTTGGCAGGACGAGGAAAAGCTTGGCGCAAATCAATTCACCAGACAATGATCGATCATCTCTGTCGTTGTATGTGCTCCGTTGATTAACCATGATTGTGCAACATTGTGAGCCTGGTACTGGAACTAGTGCCAAAACTTAGCCAGACTATGGTGTCCTGATGACTATTGTGGCTATCTTGCAGTGCCCACAAAGCTTACCCTGAGGGCTTGATGGAAGGACTCGAGTCAACGCAGAACTGGTATTGAGGCACGCTGAACAAGACCTCGAGGAAGAAGCGCAGCCTAAGCCCAGCTGTGCCATTGTGGACGTATTCCCAAGTGGCTCAGCAACAAGGCAGAGTATTCGTAATTTCGTTGCAAGGCGAGGTGACATTCCGAAAGACTTTGGTGGGGTGTCTACCGGCCGGCGGCCTAGCAAGCCTGGGTACCAAGCTTGGTTGGTCCTGGTCTACCTGACTGCGAAGGCCCAGGCTCTGGCCGCCAGAGCCAATAGGTGATCTGGCGTGCCACCCCCAATTGTCGCACCTCTCCTACACACCCCTTATCACAAACACGCTCCTCGACGTCGGACCAGCTGTCTGTCGCGTGTCTGCCCATGGTTGTCCGCGTTTCCAGGTGCACATTACCATAATCGCGTCCCACATTTGACCAACAGCAAAACTCGCCATGGCCTCCAAAGCCATGTGGGAGGTCGATCCCGAAACTAGGGCCAAGGTACGTTAGTTGCTCTGTTGCGGCCCCGCGACGTCATTCCTAGCTTCAAAAGTCGATGCAGTCGGCTGACCGCTCTGGTATCTCTTCAGTTGGCCGCTATTCAGAAAGAATCCAAGAACAACCTCTGCTGCGACTGCAACGCGCCTTCGCCGCAATGGGCATCCCCGAAATTCGGCGTCTTCATCTGCCTCTCGTGCGCAGGCGTCCACAGGGGGTTGGGTGTGCACATTTCGTTCGTTCGCAGTATTTCCATGGACGCCTTCAAGCAGATTGAGATTGAGAGGATGCGCCTTGGCGGCAATGAGAACTGGAAGACCTTCTTCGAGCAGCACGAGGACACGAAGATGCGGGGCGTCACCTGGGACGATGCCACCATTGCAGAACGATACAGCGCGAGGTCGCGAGAGTGGAGAGAGCTGTCGCCAGCAGAGGGCAAGAGTACGTCCCCGAGAGAAGAAACTTACGCCAGCCCCGCGCCGGCAAGGGACCGCACGGGCACGCCGCCTCAGTGGCAGCGCAGCATCGCGCCCCAGCCCGGCGGCAAGGTCAAGGTTGACGACAAGTACTTCTCCAGCTGGGCCCCGAGAATGCGTCGAGGTCGGAGGCGCTCCTCCCAGCCAGGGCGGAAAGTACGCTGGCTTTGGTAGCACGCCTTACGCCGTCGGCGCGTGACGACAGCGCTGCGCCGACCATTGATGAGCTGCAGAAGGACCCCATAGCCGCCCTGTCCAAGGGCTTCGGCTGGTTCACTTCTACTGTCACCAAAACGGCCAAAACGGTCAACGATGGCTACATTCAGCCGACAGCAAAACAGGTAAGAAATCCCACACCCCATCGCGAGCACCTTTTGCGACGGACAAGCTGACTCGTGCATTTCCCCTCAGCTCGCCGAGTCCGACTTTGCAAGACAAGCTCAGCTAGCAGCTGGCCAGGTTGGACGTGCGGCGCAGCAAGGCGCCCGCAACGCCAACGAAGGCTTTAACAAGTTCGTCGAGGGCGGCCGCGAGGGCAACGGCGGTTACAAACAGGCGCCGATGGACGACAGCAAGAGGGACTTCTGGGACGACTTCTCAAGCCTGGCGGACCAAAGCAACCAGCACAAGCAGCAACGATCTACGGGCACAGGCGCCATTGGCACTTCGGCCATGAAAGGCGGAGGCTCTGGCGGTGCAGCGCCGCCGGCGAAGAAGAAGGATGAGTGGGACGACTGGTGAGCGGTGGAAGCCTGGCAACTGAGCGTTTAGCAATACACAACTGTACACGAAGAAGGCGTTTCAACATGAAAGTGATGCAAATGCTTTGGACGTCTTGCTACCTAGCCTTGGAGATATGACCATTTACGTGCCATACAGCCAGTTCCTGCACCCCGTCGGCTATATGCCAGGAACTGAGGGGCCAACGTGCGGGTCACGTGCTCCGAGATCCCGAGGTTGGGAGGCCGGTACTAGCCGGTCTCGCACCTGGACTCCACGGGTCTTTTGCCAATGACGCCGATTGTTCGACAGGTCCCAAGTCCACCTCCGACTTCTCTACCTCGCGCATCCTCGGACCTGGAGAAGTGAAGCATCACATAGCAGAGTAAAGCAGAAACGAAGAAAACAGAAATGTCTGCATTGAGGATTCTCGTTCCCGTAAAGCGGGTCATTGACTATGCGGTAAGTTCATTTCACGTGCCCTCACTCTATTCCATTGGAGGGGGGAAGGAAACGTTTGCTGATGGGAGACCGAAATCCTCAGGTCAAGCCGCGCGTCAACAAGGCCCAGACGGCCGTCGAGACGGCCGGCGTCAAGCATTCGATGAACCCTTTCGACGAGCTGTCGGTCGAGGAGTCGGTCCGCATCCGCG